TTGTATGGTAAATGTACAGTAAACATCTGTACAGTAAATGTTTGTATGGTAAATGTACAGTAAACATCTGTACAGTAAATGTTTGTATGGTAAATGTACAGTAAACATCTGTACAGTAAACATCTGTATGGTAAATGTACAGTAAACATCTGTACAGTGAATGTCTGTATAGTAAATATCTGTACAGTAAATATTTGTATGGTAAATGTACAGTAAACATCTGTACAGTAAATATTTGTATGGTAAATGTACAGTAAATATCTGTACAGTAAATGTTTGTATGGTAAATGTACAGTAAATTTATGTACAGTAAACATCTGTATGGTAAATGTACAGTAAACATCTGTACAGTGAATGTCTGTACAGGAGTTCTGGAACACTAAGTCAGGATTAAACTAAAGGTTTTTGGATGCTACATCAGACTTTGTGACAAACTACATAAAGAAGGTAATTGGTGATCAGCTGATCAAGCAGCGCTTCGTCACTTAGATTTTTCCTGAATGTTACCCAACACCACAGGAACTACTTTTACCTGAGCAGGTATTGAAGGCAACTATCCAAACCAACACTTAAGGCATGACTAACAGTCAGGATCTTTTTAGCCTGATAACCATGAAAAAGACTGGATTAGTTTGGAGGACCAGAACCATGTTGGAGACCTGAACGTACCGTGCTGATAGCTAACACTGAACCCCTTCTTCTGAATGCTGAAGTCGGAGGTGAAGGACAGCTCCATCACGTTCCCGCTGGAGTTCAGCGTCATCCCGTTGGCCGTCAAACCACAAAACCTGGTTTCTGTGTTACCGGCGTTCACCATCACCCAGTCATATTTACAGCCCGGCGCCTCCTCCAACTCGAAGTCCAAGAACGAAAGCTGGACGATGAAGCCGGTGGGAGCCTGCATGGTCCACCTACAGGACTGGGAGTTGGGGTATTTCTGGGGGTAGCAGGGCGACTTGAACCTCCCCTGGGCCTCCTTTAGCACCACGTTACAGTTTATGGAGGTGCAGCCCAGTACTGAAGGTGACAGCAGGATAAAAATCAGTCAGCCTCCAGAAACTTCACTAAGAAGACGAGGACAGACGAGGGAGGGGACAAATGAGGACAAACAGAACGGTCCACAGAATGGTACGAAGACAAGACCAGAGGAAAGACCAGATAGAACAGCTGCTTCCATCGAGTCGCAGAGTTAAAGATAAACAACCTTTTGAAGAAGGTTAAAAGATTCAGACTAAGATCCTCTTTAAGACCAGAGCAAAAAGACAAGGAGGACAGTCCAGACCTTAGCTGGGTCGTTAGGAAAAAGATGGAAAACGTTAGACATCGTGCGGTTAAAGAGAAGTTCAGCAGCTTTAAGAGAGTCAATCCATCAATCCATCAACCAATAAGAGAGGACTGGTCGGTTGGGTCACCCGGTGAATCTGCAGTTTCATGACCGATCACCAATCTTTAAGAAGTCTGACCTGCTGATTCAGATTTTGTCCAATAACACACCTTCAGTTCAAATCTTATATTATAAAAACACTAATCAACACCCTTAAAACAATACAAACTTGTTCTAACTGGACATGAGGTAGTGGCTGATTTTCAAACCTTTGTGGAGGTAGATAAGATCAGCTTCTCATCTACCGTTTTTATTCGTGTATAATACGATCTCATGTATAATATGACCCCCCTTTTATTTTTAGCTTAAATAGCATAACAAATTTAATCCTCAAACTACCTCCAATTTCATACAGACTTCAAGATTTTTCAGCCTTTGCAGTCTTTATATATATGAGTAAAATGATCATTGGACTGTTCATTTTATTTTAACAACATTTGACATATGTACTAAAAGGTACTTTGACAACAAATATATATCAGCTGTAGCAGCATTATATGAATTCTGACATTTTACACATAGTCCACCAGGAGGCTCCAACACAAAAGTCAGAGACTTCACATGAGATTTGGGCCATCTTCTGGGGCAAAAGCAGATTACTTCCTACTCGCAAGCGCCCCCTCTGGAGGGGAAACTTTTTTCAGGGATACAAACCTTTTCAGAACACCGGTAGACGGCAGCCATTACAGACAAACATGTTTATTGTTGTTCGAGGAGCGGCCCGGTCACACACTGATGTCATTAGTTCGTTATCATTACTAAGATGCAGGACTGCTTTCCCCCCCTTTTTTCACATCATGTCGCCTGCTTGGATCTGTTACTATCTCGCTCTGAAGCACGGAGGAGTGTCAGAGGTGAGCTCGCTTCAACTGCTTTTTACGATGCAGTCTCATTTCCGGACTCAGGCATTTTGCCGATATTTCATTTAAAATACATAAGTAAAACATTTATCGGAGCACAATACTACCCCCCAACTTTATGGATGATTTTAGGGATTAAATTTTATGTATTATACTTGAATAAATATGGTAAGTGTTAGACGATTGCCCATCTCCCAAAATGAAGGAAATCTGGGCTGATTTATCAGTGCACCCCTAGTTTAAACAAAGATCAGGACTGTTTTTGTTTTGCTTTTATCAAAAACCAAACCTTGGAGCCACAAAACATAGAACAGCTTTAAATACAGTCATTATATCAACTTATAATAAACAAAAACACATTTGTTAGGGGTGTAAATCAGCAGCTTTATCATGATATGATATTAAATGGATTTATTTGGATGACAATACATTTCTCTAAATCAAAGTCTGTTAAACGGTTTGGTTTAATTCACAAGTCTGAGATCAATATCTAGCTCATTTATGATAGAAATACACATCGAGCATACGATGACAATATGGATTAATATTTTCATTTAGATTTGATGTAACTGAATTTTTAAATGTAATCAATATATCGATGTGGATCGACGAACTGTTACACTTCTCATTTTAAGGAAGTAAACTTCGGGGTTTATAAATGTTTTCCATTTTTAAATTCCACATTTTTCAGGACTTAAAGGGGCAATATCATGTAAAATTAACTTTTTTGAGTTTTATATCATGTTATAATGTTATACTCTCATAAAAAACATGCCCAAAGCCTTGCTCTGACTCATTCATGCATGTTTGAGAAATCCTGCTGCGTTTTTAGGAAGTCATGCTGAGGAGCAAAACGACAGGTGGGGACCAGAAACACCTTTTGGGACTAGAAACGCTCCTGGGACGTGTCTTTAAGCTGAACTTCCTTATGGC